ATATCGTGATAAATATTTTATACCATATCGCCCAGCACTAGTACGATGTACATTTTAGAGGTGTTTTGTGTTGTCCTGACGCCTCATGACAAACAGCAGAGTTAGAGTTTCTGAGATGATGCGTTCAAAGGAGACACAAGCCTGAAAGGAGGGCAGCCATGAAATGTGAAAGGAGCATTAGAAGAGGACAAACAATCAATTTATGAGTACCCACACGCATAAATGTCCTACCTTTGTCGTGTAAATTACCTAGACATTATTTATTCCCAGGTGAAGAAAGGTTTTTTGATGTTTGATTTTTACCTGATGTTAAAGTTGTAACCCTTCTTATTATAGTCTGAGGTGATCTGATGACACAAATCATGGTTGAGCTGATCCTTTGGTAGACAAACAACAAACAGCAGCAGGTGGATCTCTTTCCACTGTAGCCAAAGGTTTTTAAACAGAATTTAGTAAGTAATAACTGTGACTGATGTCACGCTGAACTTGGTTTGCTTGCAGAGGACGTGGATACATGCAGTTTGTTGCATGTGGTTTTTTAAAGCTTGCTGTGGTTGCTGCTAGCTGCTCGATTCAAACTGATCTGCTGGCAAACCCAAACTTACTTGTTCCACTTTGACTTGTTAGGCAGACACATGTTAAAGGAGACCTGTTAGAACTTTTAACCTTTTTTTTAATCTTTGGACTAAAGCAGCATCGCACATGGTCCAAAATAATTGTTATTTGTCTTACACTTGGTCTATGTGCAGCTCATCAGACAGATATCACGGCAAAATGTGCAGTAGACACACATGTCCACTGTGTCCGTGCAGAAGTTGCAGTAACAGCACGGGGGGATATTTTATTTGTGTTTAAACAGGCATAACTAACACATTTACATATAAATTAGTGATGTCAGCGTTAATCTAGTTAAAAAGGCGTTAACGCCATAACTGCATTAACGCAGCAAATCTCTGTTAGCAAGTTACCGCGGATCGCCCCTCGCGTGGGGCTGGACGTTGGGCTGGACCGCGCTGACGCCATGCAGCCCCACGCACAGGGCGATCTACGGTAACTCGTTAACAGAGATTTGCCTCGTTAATGCAGTTAAGGCGTTAACGCCTTTTTAATGAGATTAACGCTGACAGCACTAATGTAAATACACATTAGCTGCCTAGCTTCATCGTTTCAGCCAATTACGAACCTTAGAATCGACTTCATACATTTTTTACTCACTGCTGACTTCTTGACTTCAAATGTATAATGCATTTGCATGTGTGCATGCATGAGTGTCCATTTCACATTTTGGAGAGGCACAGTGTGAAATGGACACTGTGGAATACACGTTTCGCTGTGATGCTGGGTTGCATCAGTTTATTTATTCTTAATGAAGTTGTTTTTTCGCTCCCACCTCCCACTCACCAAACACTCTTCTGATTGGCTACCACATGCAAATAAAAAACTATATATACATATATATAGTTGACTGCATTTAAACTGAATATGATCACACCATCATGTCATCATATCCAGGAAGTTGTTTCCATAATTTCCTAATAATAATTTCAATTTCTCTTGGCCAGATGATGACAGTTTTCTTCTTTATCTCAGACTGTTTTAAACGAGCTTGGGCCCACATCCTGAAAAAGCATGCTATCCCAATGCTATCCCTCCCAAGTTTACCTTAAAAACCTAGATTAAGATTTAGGAGCTGATTAGGGTTTGTTTGTTTTTTAAGCGGAGAGAACACACTGGCTGCTTTAAAGTATCAGCCTGATGAAGGAGAATTATTTATGACAGAGAGAAGCTGGGGGAGATGACAGGCAAAACCTCTTTCATGAAGTTAGGAGGAACAATGTCAGTTGGCCATGTGACTATATCACTATATATATATATATATATATATATATATTTTGTGGGAATTAGCTTAAATTTGGAGCACAGAACTGGGTCAGACATTTGGAAAAGGAACTGTGACCTGATACAGCGCTCCCCAACCTTTTTGCGCCACAGGTTTAAATGTCAGATAATATCTTTAAGGCGTCGCGGATAAATACAACAAAATAAAATGATACGAGCAAGACAAAAACTGTGGTATTTTGAAAATATAACAATAAACTTGAATTCACTGTGTAATTGTGTAACTTTATTAGCAGCGTCCTCCTGAAATGCGCCAACAACACTGAGAGTAACATCCTCCTCTCTGCCCCTTAATGCTCTCTGGTTGCTATGGTAACACGTAAATATTTCTTTCAAAATAAGACGCACAACTACAACACGAGAAAAGACCCAGGGAAACCCAGTTAACGATAAAAACCCTGAAAACCATCAATTTCACACCCGAGCCTCAACTCTGGCAGCCCGGCACCAAACGGACTCCCGGTACCAGTCCGAGGCCCAGGGGCTGGGGACCGCTGCCAGAAAAGACATTCAGAATATATTAGACGACTGAGTAGCATTTAGTTAATAGTACTGAACAGGATCCTTGAATTGTGCTTATTATTGTTAATCAAACGACCAAAATAAGAAGTTCTCACATCTTTCATGAGCCGCCCTCATCACAGGGCTTTGGGACGAGGGCAGCTTTTCATGTCTCCGGGGAAAAGCTGTCTGTGTATATGCTCTGAAGACTCTTTTTTTGTCATCCTTTAAGCCACTCTAAGGAAAAAGAAAGGTGGTAAGTTACAGTGGGCATGCTTTCAGTCTGATCTAGTATCTCCAGTGATTGATTTCTGTCCCGTATTCCCCACACAGTCCCACCCCACTGTGATTAACTAACACTGTTGTATTTAGTGATTCCTTTAATGACTCGCTCCATTTCGACCGAATTAAACCAAATGGAGCTACGCCCATAGTGCATTTGCATGATTTACAAAGTGTTTTGATTGCAGCTGTTTCTGTCTTCTAAATGTTGTTAGTGCATGGTTAAATGTCGTAGTAATCACAGGCTTTAGATTCTTCTTGCTGAGCATTCCCAGGGTTTGCTTTTGATTAAAGGGGCATGTCACCTCACAGTGCTTCTATGCAGGCAGACCCACAAACCTAATTTGCAACACTATCAGCAGTAAGCATACACTGTTTACGTTCTAGGATCTTTTTACGCTTTAAACACAAAAATATACACAGTGGCAGAGCCTTAATGAGGAATTACAAATGAGTGTGAGTCAGTGTTTTTTCACTATACCTGACCTTTAAAGTTTCATGTTTCTCTTCTTCATGTGTGCATTTTTCTGTAAGCTACTTGTGTGTGTTAGCGTGTGTGTTCATGTGAGGAGGAGGAGGTTTATTCTAGGAAATGTTTCACTCACACATAGGTTTCCAGGGCAACCGTGTTGCATGTTGTTTGATAGGTTGTAGCTGCGATCCAACTGGGAGACAGATCAGAGAGAGAGTGAAAAGGAATGTGCGTCTTTCTGCTATTTCTGTGTGTTTGTGTGGTTTTTACCTCTAACCGTAGTTAAGGTCATTGATGCTCCTTTCCTCCCCTTTCCTCTCCTCTGTGTATAGATGCGCAGAAGAAGAGGATTGTTTTCCAAGTCACTCTAAGTAATCACTCCCCTGATGCATGGAAGCTTTGTACATCCTAGACAGTTGTAGGCAGGTGACACAGTAAGAGGAGAGATCAGGGCTAGCATGTAGCTTCTCTGAGCAAAACCCTTTAGCTGGACTCTATTTGATGGCATCATCACACACCAGAGGGAAGTTCAGGTTTGCCAAATTTGCCATTGATAGCTTTCTCGTGTTGCAGGCAGAGTAAAAAAATGAGATAAAAAAACAATAAAAACACAGAGAAAGGTAATGGCAAGCTTGGCAGGCTTTCACATCCATTGCTCATTTTACATTTAACGAGGGAACGACCCTGAGAGCTGGATGATGCTGCTGAGTCGGCTGTTTGGAAAGAGCTTGCACGGCTTCCAAGGCTGGACATGCCAGACGCATTTCATCAAAGTTGCCCTCTCTCCCCTTCCCCTTGCTCCTCCTCCCTCATACCCCCACACCCACAAAAAAAAAGAATTTCAACTGTTTTTGGTTTCAGTTCCATTCACAATTCGGTGTGGAAACACAAGGAAGGGTCACTGTAAATGACTGAATGAGTAGCTTGCATTTGACCCATCAGATCTGAAACTAAGGCTTTGCAAGTTCACTCCTGCCCCTTGTCACGTTTTTCAGTGCTGACATATTATGACTTGGTTTGCTTTGCAGACAAAGTAGAAGAGATGACCCATGCCCAGAAGACATCGCCTGTTGACATGAAGATAGCCACAATTAAACCACGCCCATCCAGTCGCTGCTTGGTTACGCCAACTGATATGAATGTAAGCATAAGCGAACTCACTTTATGGTGATCATTGTTTCAGATCGCTGTTACCCTAAATTAGATTGTTCAGTATCAGGTTGTGTGGCTGTACCCTGTGCTGCTTCCCCAGACTGGATGCCATGATGGAAAAATGTTTGTCCTTTTAGAGCTCCTGTTTTTTAAAATATTCAGGGCTAATGCTGATGTTTAGCAGCCGATTTAAGGTTAGGGTTAAGTTTAGGTGTAAAGTGCATGTAAGAGAATTCATTTGAAAGATAACATCTTCCCGTTTCTGAAAGTTTGCTTTATTTAAAACACCTGAAACCAGTAGCTAGTGTCAAAATAGAAAAACTGTCCTCCTATTTGCAAGTATCAGTCAACACAGCCAGTCGCAGGTGATGCCTGGACCTGGCCGATATGTTATGCATCCCAATGTGTGAATTCCTGTAAGCAAATGCTGTTATTGTTATTTAGAGATCTAATGAAACAATTATATATTCCTAGTTATATTAATAATTTACAATTGACTTTTCAGTCCTTGTATCATGACCGCCAAGGAGTAGCTGTGGTGCCACCCACTGTGCCAGGAGCCTTCCTGGGGATACCTGAGAAGGGCACTATGAAAAAGCAAAAGTCCATAGGTATGATGTATATACAGTAAAAATATGTGTAGGTGTGTGTGTGAGTGTCCAGTAACCTGTGCTTTTAGCTTGTCATAATATTTTATTAATGCTCTGAGGACTTGCTCTTTGTGGTCTAGCAATATTAAAGCTAATTATAGATAAATTAGAGTGAGCCAGTCAGCAAAGTGTGCTTTCAGGCAATAATATTGGAGGTCATTAAGCATGTGCTCAAACCTCATTCTCACTCCCGAACTAGAGGGATGTCATACATGCTAATGTTGGTTTCAGGTTTTTGACTTGCAGTGCCATCAGAATTACCACGAAATTATCTTCTTTATCTTCTTTGTGCACAGTAATCCATTCAGGGCTACAAACTGCATAGCCATACTCTTCTCTACACTCTCTGAAAATTAAGGACCTTATTGTCCCTTTAACCCTTTCATGCATGAATTATGACAACCTCAAACAGGATTTTTTATTCATCTTTAGGAATGAAAACGTAATTTTGAACTTCATTTTTTTAAACATGTACTTTTCCACTAAGGTGGACAACTGATGTGCATGGAGCAGCACATCAGTGTCCAATGTAGTGGTTTATGTGCAAGTATACCATCATACTGTAACAATTACAAGAAAACAGCCTTTGAATATCCACCCACTGTAGTGACCACTAGGGTTGGGCGACAATTGTCAGTCCAACAATCGACGATGTTTATGATATATTTGCGCATGCTCAGACTTTTTGATGGGCGGAGCAATGTAATCATGCACAGACTGATTTGCACATTTACAACACAGAAGAAGTCCTAACATGGACAAACTATTTTTTATTATAATTTTAATTTTATTTTTCTATAATTTTATAAATTATAAAAATTAGGGCTGTCAGCATTAACGCAGCGTTAAAGCACTCATCGCGATTAAAGCGATTAAAATTTTTAATGCGCTCGACCCATCTGGAGCGCAGAATGAACAAGCTCTGGACAAACTGCCCCAAATGCGCTGGCAGAGACATTTCAGGGATTTTGACTCAGTCTGCGCTCCAGATGGGTTAATTATTAATCGCGTTAGTCGTGATGACGGCGCGTTAACGCTGACAGCACTAAAAAAAAGTCGATATATTCGTCCAATCGCCCAACCCTAGTGACCACTATGCGTGAAAGGGTTAACGGTATAGAGACTTGTCACGAGGCTGCATCCTCAAGGGTACTCAATGGTACTACTCGGTGGGTGCTTTGTGGTTTGTACCTACAGAGTAGACTCTTAAAACTCTGGTGCAAATTTTATATCTTAATGTAAAAGTTAAAACTGGATACTAGACTAGCCATAGATTTTACCCACATAGACCTTTATTTCTGGTATTATATGTTAGCAAAAACAGGAAATTGATGTGAATTTTTGAGCTAATTTGAGCCATCAGCTCCTCTGGGTGGCTGTGGCTCAGCAGGTAGGGCGGGTCTTCTACTAATTGGAAGGTCAGCGGTTCACTTCCTGGGTCCTCCAGTCTGCGTGTACTCATGCAAGCTATTGACTGCTGGTTTGCACCCAATGCGTTCATCAGAGTGTGAGTGTTTTGCGACCGTTAGACAGCGGGCTAAGGTATAGAAAAAGGTGCTTGTGTGCTTGGTGAATGAGTCTTGTACTGAAAACGTGCTTTGAGTGTTCAGCGTGGAAAAGGCCCGGATAAGTAGCCCTTATTTCTGTAATAACAGCTACATAACTTCTGTCCTGATTGAACATTTCAATTGGTGAGAATATTCCTACTTACTGTCGAAACAGCAGTTACATTTCACATCTATCTGGCCTCTCACAAATTTCAGGAACCTTTCCTGCATATATAAATAAATCCAGAGAGAGCTAAAGAAGGCATTTCTTTTGGAACTAGGAGGCCAAGCAGGAAGTGAAACAAAGGGAAGTCTCCCCTAGGTCCTGAGATAATTATTCTTTCTGCTCCATTTCTTCAAGGTACATCGGAGGATGAGAAACAGGGATTCCTCACACCTCCCCTACTCAAGTTCGCACGCAGTCTCTCTATGCCTGACACCTCAGAGGACATCCCTCCTCCCCCAGCCATTTCACCCCCTTCACCACCTGCCTACAACTCAGCTGCTGGACCTACACCCAAGAGCTATGGCACAACACGACCAAGCTTTACCCAAAACTCGCCCAATGCAGTGACGACCATAAGCCGGACCACCGACGTCGGTACATTGAGGCGTGGCTATTTCCGTCAGAGCTCTGAGCACTTTGAGAGCACACGAACTCGGGGGCGTACGCCAGTGCCTGAGAACCCGTATTCAGAGGTGGGCAATAAGACGCTGTATGTGCCAGCAAAACCAGCCCGAAGGAAGGGTATGTTAGTAAAGCAGTCTAACGTGGAAGACAGCCCAGAGAAGACGTGTCACATGCCAACAAGTCCATCAGGCCCAGTTTCCATGCCTACTACGCCTGTAGAAAGAACATGCTCCTCTATCCCTATTCCCACCATCATTGTAAAGGAGCCATCCACTAGCAGCAGTGGCAAGAGCAGTCAGGGTAGCAGCATGGAAATTGAGCCTACAACCCCTGAACACCCGCCTCTCACACCTGCTGTTGGTGGAAGTGGAGGTTTACGCCCTGAAGACCCCCTTTCACTAAGCAACCCCTTTGCAGCAGCTATTGCTGGAGCAGTACGGGACCGCGAAAAGAGGCTCGAGGCAAAAAAGAACTCGATTGCCTTCCAGTCAATAGATATCGGGGATGACGACTTGAGTGGTCCCACGCCAACCCCTCGCCTTCGCCAGTCCAAGTCCATCGATGAAGGCATGTTTAGCAGCGACGAGCGTCTTCAAAGGATATTAGCCCCTCCTTTGGCAAAGCAGCTCGGTCGCCCTGTTGGTGGCGGTAGTGGAAATATGACAGATTTCAACACTCCTGAGCCCACAGTTGTTCGGGAGCCACTAAACACTAGAACAGGGCAGTGTCCCAACCTGGACAGTCCTGTTAGCCTCCCAGCCACTCCTCCTAAGAGCCACTACAGGGCCAATGGAACCTACCTCCATCCTGTCACTGGCAAGCCGTTGGACCCTAATTCTCCACTAGCTCTGGCCCTTGCAGCTCGTGACCGGGCCATGAAAGAGCAACAAAACCATCCTCAGAATCAGTCCCAAAATAATCCTCAGGTTCAACAACCCCCCAAGCATGAAGCCCAGTCGCTGCCAGTTCAGCAAAGTCACAAACCTGACCTCAACCAGCCTCTATTTATTGACACCAAACTCCGCTCTGGAATCGAGACGAGTTTTGCTGCAATCTCCACAGCAACAATGGGACGGCCTGGCCGAGGTGGCCTTCAAAGACAAATGACAGAGCAGAAGTACGAGTCTGACGGAGCACGGGAAGAACGGCAGCATCAGGCACTTGAAGAGAGGAAAAGCGCACCAGCAGATGTGGCAGACACGTCACAGCCCAAGTCAGCTGGATTACTGATGGTTCACACCAGCACAGACGTAAGCAACAAGGTGAACAACCAAGAGGCCGAGGGGCAGGACAGCAACCGACCGTCTGAGCTGAAAGATCCAAACCAGCCTGATCCTCTTAGTTCTTCAACACTGTCCACTCCACAGCCACCCACATTAAGGAGGAGGAGCATTCCTTTAGGCGAATCCATGGACGAACCTGTAAAACTGCCCTTTCGCATCCCTCCTCCCCCTCTGGCCTCAGTTGACATTGATGAAGAATTTGAGTTCTCAGAACCCCTCCCCCCACCTCTGGAGTTTGCAAACAGTATTGACATTCCTGATGACCAGGCTAGTGCCATTGCAGAGATGATTCAGCAACAGAGACGGAATGGGGGGCCTTCTCTACCCCCATACCACCCTCACGCCCCACCACCTGTCACTGATCAACACAGAAGGATGGCAAACAATATGCCCCTCTCGTATCCCCCTCCACCTGACCCAGAATCAGGGGTAGGTGACTCAGGCATTGAAGAGGTGGACAGCCGCAGTAGTGGGGATCCTCAGCACATGGAGACCACCAGCACAGTGTCGAGCATCTCCACCCTGTCATCAGAAGGAGGCTTCTGTGACAGTGCTTTGGAGAGCCTCTATGCCACTCCAGACGGTCACGCCTTCCTGGTGGATCGGCCCCCTGTGCCACCAAAGCCCAAGAGCAAGTCTGTCATTAATAGAACGTCACTTTATCACGATGCTCTCATTGAAGAGCCACCAGAGTCTTATGGGTCACCGCCTCAGGCCCCTCCTCCCTCGTCCTCTGAACCTCCTAGGACTCCTACTCAAAGGACCTCCAAGCTGTGGGGTGATCAGCCCCCTGAGCTACGCAGCCCCCCATCCACACCAGACTCCAAGAACACAGTTATCACTGAGCTGAGCACCATTCTACAGCATATGAATCGCGACAGGCCAACCAAGCCAGGAGAAAGCCTTGACTCCCCAACAGGCACCAGAGGGGGCTTCGGAACAAGGTATGTGAAGTCTTTCCTTACTTTAGTTTTTCCTTTCTTCTGCTGTTTAGATTTTGTTCATGTGTCATTTGTTTATTTTGCACCTTTTTCATGTTAGTGCTTAGTTACGTAAGAACTTTATTCACTGTAGAGTCTGAGCAAACTCATTTTCTGTCTAATATAGCTTCTAGAAAGCTGTAAAATTTCATGCATATTGGCTTATAAGCTGATCCACTAATGATTGATCACCATTGATTATACCCAGGCATCCATGAATGCTTAGGCTAAATTCAATTCAATTCAATTTTATTTATATAGCGCCAAATCACAACAAAAGTCGCTTCAAGGCGCTTCATAGATACAGAGAAAAACCCAACAATCATATGACCCCCTATGAGCAGCACTTTGGCGACAGTGGGAAGGAAAAACTCCCTTTTAACAGGAAGAAACCTCCAGCAGAACCAGGCTCAGGGGGGGTGGGGCCATCTGCTGTGATTGGTTGGGGCGAGAGAAGAAAAACAGGATAAAGACATGCTGTGGAAGAGAGACAGAGGTTAATAACAGATATGATTCAATACAGAGAGGTCTGTTAACACATAGTGAGTGAGAAAGGTGACTGGAAAGGAAAAACTCAATGCAAAATCTGAAAATAGTCCAAAGTAGTCCAAGACAATTTGGAAGAACATGAAGTTGCTTTATTAAGATGCAGAATTTGATAAGTAACCCCCCCCCCGAGAGTCTAGACGTTGCTCATGATGAAGATGGAGGATTGGATGATGACCACAGGGCACACAGAATAAACCCTGATTGGCTTGTAGAAGGCGAGCAGGAGTATAATTGGAGTAGAATGATGATGTCAGTGTTGAGTTTGACAGTGAGTAGAGAGTAAGTGGTGAAAAGAATATGTGAAAAGTAGTGCTGTCAGCGTTGGTCTCGTTAAAATGATCTTAACGCAATAACCGCATTAATGGGACAAATCTCCGTCAGCGAGTTAGCGCGGATCGCTCCGTGCGTGGGGCTGCACGGCGTCAACACGATAGCGCAGTTAGCTCGTTAACATGTGCTGTCCAGCCCCACGCACCGGGCGAACTGCGCTAACTCGCTAACGGACATTTGCTGCGTTAATGCGGTTATGGCGCTAACGTTGTTTTAACGAGATTAACGCTGGCAGCACTAGTAAAAAGTGAAAATTTGAACTCATTTTGCGGTTTTTGTTGTGACAAGTTTGGTTTTGTGTAGTCTGGTGACACAGACATCCAGCTGTTACCTGTGTTTGCATTGTTATAGCTGTTGTGTTTGTCAGAAGAGCCCAAAAGGATTATGGGATTGGGAGGAACATCAGCTTGTTCTGTGAACTGTGTGTGGCTGCAGGGTTTTGCTATATGTGTTGTTTGTAATGGTAGTATGCCTGTTCTGGTTTACACTCTGTTCATCCGTGCATGATGTACGGATGCATCACATTCCAGAATAAAGCTTTGTATGTTTCCGGCTCTGTTTAGCTACTGCCAGCACCTGCGGACATCAGTCATGTTGAACATTTCTTGTGATAATATTTGGTCACCGTGAGATTTCACTTTATTGTGGTAGCAGTGGGAGTTTTCTGAAGATTTAATGGAAGAGTTACTGTGGGATTCCTCACTGGGAATGTAAAGAGACTGGTTCTTATTTAGTGCTTTTCTACTCGCCTTTTTCACACAAGCAGTTATTTCTATGGTTAAGTGCTTTTGAGCTGACATTCACACTGATGGATGCATCAGAGAGCAACGTAGGCTTAGTATCGTGCCCAAAGATATTGAGCATTTAGACTGGAGCAGCCAAGGGATTGAACCACCAACCTTCCCATTAGTAGATGACGCCTCTACTACCTGATTTATTTCACTATTTAGCTTAATCCTCCTCTATGTCACCTTTCTTCTGTTTGCTGGCGTATTTTACAGTAAATGTCCATGTGAGAAACACAGAGCACCGTGCACACGCTCGTTTGTTGAACAGCCACAAAGGCATTAGTTGGCAAATAAATAAAAAATTAGTTTTGTGAGTGGTGCCGCTGCCTAAACATTTGACCACAGCTGTACCTGTTGATGGTTAAAGAATGATCAGCTAGCAAAGCAAGAGTGACGTGTTGTGCTCGACACAAGCTGGAACAACATTTTGGTGGAAACTGCGCCTGAATCAGCCAACCTCATGTTTTTTCATCTCACTCCTGTGAGCGGGAATAAAAAGCACGATAAATAATTCACTGCTTGCATGCATTTTGTATGAACAATCCCATCACTCATCAGAGACTTGTAGAGAGTGCCACGAAGGTTTCTGTTCCTCTGGGCACTCGTGCTTTCTGATTTAATAAACACTAGTAGCTGCACGCAGCGTTGTCCATTTGGGGTAATTGCAGCAGGATGCCCAGCAGCAGGTCCAGTAGGTCCAGCTCTGTGTTCCTCCCTTCATGCTTCATTCCACACGCTGTCGTGTTATCCTCATCGTCATCCTCTGCAGCTTAAAGTCATGTTTGTTGACCTTTAACTTCTGTATTCATTCCAGCTCACGCCTTTCCAGCTTCATCTCCATTTTTTTCCAGTCTCCCGTTGTTCCTTCACCTCTCCTTTCTTCATGCCCCTCTGTGTCTCCCACTCTCACAGGTAGGTTCCCTCATCATCCGACATTCCATCAAAGGCCTGTTTTCACTTATGTGATCGTATATATTTCTGCCATGTGACATGGTATAGGAAATGGTATGCTGTTTAAAATGTAGAGTATTTAGTTGCAGAAAGGGTTGGTCTACATGGAGCTTGTTAGTGACAAACAGAGGAACTAAGTACAGTTGTCATTTGAACAATAGAAACAGTAAGGTACTAGAGATCAAAGTTAAGAAAAGGTAAGACAAGGTAAGAAAAGTATTGGTCTACAAATGTAGAAATGTCCTGTGTTAAAAACCACTTGCACAGGTGAAAAGCCACTCAATGCAGAATGATGAAACAGCATGTAAGGGGCTGAATGTCCCAAATGAATCTTGCATTCCTCAAAATGTCTCTAAAATATAAAAGCGAACCTCTTTTATTCCTATAAAATCACATCAGTGGCTACACACAGGTCCACTAAAGCCTTCATCAG